AATGCCATATGAATTATGAATCAACTCCTGGAGAAGCCCCTCTAAATTACAAGTAGAGATTAGAGACCTGCACCAATTACAGTACCATAAAGTTACCTGGTGTAAATCCCATCTTATTTCTAGTAGCAGCTTACTATGTTGCTACTTACCACTATATGTATGAGCTCTAATGCATAGATTTAAATCCCTGGCTACAAAACACTTGACAGCTTAAAAAACTAAAACCAGGTGATCAAAATTATTCACTCCAGAGCTGTAATCAGCAGCAAATTTATGCTTTGCTGAGGCAATGGAATCTTTTCTCTAAGGTACTCAGAAATCTTTATAAAGCTACAATTTCAGACTAAACATTAGTCTTATTCACATACAAAATACTACCTTTCATAACTTGCATTCCTCTGAAAATATCCCCAGGAGCTGGACTGGATAGGATATTCACTTAGATGATCCATCTGATCTTCACATGTCTGTCTGACAAATATCACACAACAGCTTTATGTGCATTGTGGTTGCAAGTATCTCCTTTTGTTATTTAACATTGCACATTTTGTTTACTACAGCATTGTTTGAAAAAGCACAATACACTCAGGTCAAACTGATTTAATGTAATGAAGAATTTCAGCCAGACATACAGCAGCCTGGTTAAAGATGTAAGTTTTAGGCCCGAAGTAATGGTGATGATCATGTAATGATGATCATTTAGATTCAAAACTCGTTTCAGTTCTAGTACATTTGCTTTAACCGACCTGTAAGCAGGTACAGTTAAAACCGTACAGATAACAGGGTATATATTTCAATACTCAGTGACAAATTGTTTTTAACAGTAATTTCTGTAAGATGGCTATACGAGAATGAGTTTTAAGCAAGACTGATTACCACACCTCTCAGTTTGGGTATGTTTCCACTTTAAAAAGAATTTAATCCAGCCCCAGGAGTTAAATTTTTAATTTTCAGTTTCTTTGAACATTTTGCTCAGTTGTTCAACTAGTGCTACAAGCTCAGGGTTTCCACCAAGTGATTCAATTTGTTTATAGGCTTCAGATTCAAGCTCTTTCAATGTATTCCGAGTGTACTCAAAGGAACCCACATTTTCAAGGTAATGTACACAGTATTTTTTTATATCTATGTTCTCTGTCCTCTGACGTAAAATGTTTTGCACCTGAGTACTTTCAGGTCTTGACCAAATTGCATGAATGGTTGGGAATGAGAACTTGCCCTCAGTTAAGTCTTCACAAAAACTCTTGTTTTCACTATATTCTTTGGAGTGCAAGTTGGCGTAGTCGTCTCTTATTTGGAAGAAGAGGCCAAGTGTGTTAAGAAGTGGTTTTAAGTCTTTTTTATAATTTGAGAACAGCTGCATAAGGCCTACAGCTAATCCAAAAAGCCCACCTGTCTTTTGCAGTACCATAGCTTTATATTCAGCTTCTGTAGGACAGGTGTAAGTATCCCTCCAGTAAATATCCAAGCCTTGGCCTTTATGGAGTTCCAGAAGTTGACGGGTAAAAACTTTAACAGCATCTGGATGATCAAGGGTTAAAACCTTCTCTAAGCCAAGGAAATACACGTAATTAGCACAGTTGATTACAGATGGAATTCCATAGATACTGTGTGCCACTGGAAAGCCCCGTCGTAGCTTTGAGTTATCTTCAATATCATCCACAAGTAGGCTTGCATTGTGCAACATCTCTGTCACTTCAATGATAACCTATTAGAAGAAGAGAAAATTATTAAGTCTCCCACTTAATTTAACCTCCAGTTTTGCAAGACCTTATTTGAAATGGATAAGGTTTTAAATAATTATATTCTCCATCACTGAGGTTCCCCTTTATACCACTTGCTTTTATTAATAATACAGTTTCATGATTCTCTTCATCAACCAGTTTGCTGCAAGTCCTGGATCATGTGGTCTGTCTTTTGTGTAATGTTTTCAGATTCAAAGTGAACTTACTCCCTGCAGTGTTTCCACTTGCACACTCCTCTTCATTGCTGCTACCGTTCTAAAATATGCTATTGTCTAGGAGTCATACAGTAACTGTTATTAGAAACATGAATAGAGGAAATGAAAGGCAACACAATGTTGTGGTAAGTTTAGATTCAGATCTCCCAAAGTCAGTTCTTGAGAGTGTCTGGTATCATCCATTAACACATTTGTGTCATTAACCTTGTTTTGGTAAGTGGAGAGAGTTCATCTTTCTTTCCCCACACTTCGTGTAGTTCTCTTCAGCACCGAGCTCTTAAAGAACAGCCTATTCTCTCTGAAACATCATTTGGAAAATTCTTGGCAGAAAGACAACAACTTCCAACTTTCGGGAAGCTTGCTACGCACTTACTACTTGTTACTAAGTAGACCAATATCATACACCACCTGAGGTACACAAACTCTTCAGAAATCAAGCTTGGAGCTGACTTATGTTTGACTAAAAGTGAACCTTAACAATTCCAAAGCAGGACATTTCAACAAGAAATTAAGAGTTTTAACACTATATACTGTCTTTTATTGCACAGCTGCTATCCAAAATGAGGTATATTCAGCACCTGATCAAATGGAAATAAATTTAAGCATGCAAAACTGCAAACTCTATAAACTCACTACAAAACATATCTGATTAAGATATGATTTTAAAGCTAATGAACCAATTACACTTGCTAGCTACAAACATTGCCCTTGGTCAACATTCATCAAAACTGCTTCTAAAAAATACTGAAGCCACCATTAAATAGTGGCAAGTACCTAGAATGGTCCTATTTGGGGGGTGATGTAGGAAAAAGTAAGAGGGACTTCACTGCAAGCATTTCTTGAGCAGCAAGCCACCTAGTGTTCAGTGACCACTGCCCCAAAGATTAAAATGCAAAACCCAGCAACCTGTTTGTCCAAGATATGACTGCAAGAACAACCTACTTAAGTACTAATGACTCACCTACCAGTTAGAAGTGAGCCCTGCTTTGACCTGCAAAGATACGTTGTTGCCCATTGATTAAATCAGAGGATAGAGTACTTACTGAAAGCAACTTCGCATACCTCTTTGCCTGAATACTCTTTTAGTTCATTATGTCATTCTCCTCTGTACTATCAGGAAAGTTGCCATCTATTCTGGGAATTCTCTGGATAAGCCTATTCTAGCATTTATCTTGCTAACCTATTTCATATCACTGTCAATTCCATGAACTTTTGCAGCTTCTGGACATTTAAGGTTTAACTGAAACAGTGCTTCATGACTGTGTGTTTGAATTAAGCTATCTTGTGAACTTAAGACAGTGTCAAGAATGCTTCGAAGCTGAAAGTAAGGACCAAGAAAGTTCAGCCAGCAGAAAAAGCTTATTTTATCAAGTAGCCTGAGGAAATTAAGAGAATGAAGAGACTGCTTTTCATAGTGAAAGCTGAACCACCCATACGGAGTGTAATGCTTTCTTACAACCTAAGCCTATCTAATCAGTAGCTGCTGCACTATCACTCCAATACACAGATTTCTACCTCCTTACTTGCAATAGCTTTAAAATTTGCTTGGCCCCCTACTATGCCATTTCAGTGCCTTCTTAAGAAGAAAGTTTATGTGACAGACCCAGCGTTCTCCAATTCAACAAGCTGAAGTGTCTCAGTGCAGCATCAGATGGGTACTAGAGATGCAGTAAGCAGAAAAAAAAAAATATCACCCATCCCATTTGGCTGGGAAAAAAGTGAAGTGGTGGCACCCAATAGTAAAATCAACTACCAAGGAACAGTAGCCTCAACTGTATCATCGAAATAAACTATATGAAGATAAACGACCTAAGGCAAAAACCATGTCCCACAATGAGTGGCAGAATTCAGATTTTTATTAAAAGAAGTACAAATAGCTGGAAGGTAATCAGGCTGCTAGGCACATGGGTCGTCTTAAAAAGATTACGAGATGTCAAAAAAATGACCAGAGGTGGTCCTCCAGACTTTAACAACCTTAAGTTACTAAAATTAGTACAAGTATGCACAAAAGCAGTAGTAATTGTGTCACGATGCAGATTAAAAGATGGCAGGGCCTTGATTTTGTCCTCAAATGACCTGAAGAATAAAAATACTAAGTTCTATCACAAACAGCTCAAGTGGTAAAGGAAACATTAAAGCATCATTTTTCTTCATTAAGATAATCAAAACAAGTGGTTTAAGTTTTCAATAATGATTACATGATTATCAGTTTAAAAGTGACAGGTAGAACTGGTAACTTCTGTTCATACAGAGGCGCTGCAGCTTTAGTTTACTACACTACACAAGAGAAGATGGACCATTACTGTCACAGGTGCCGAGCAAAAAAGCAAGAGGCAAGTCAGACTGCAGCATAAGAAATCCCAGCTGGACTGAATAGAAAAGTTTGCTATCATGGAAGGGGTTCAGCACAGGAAGACAGGCCCTGAGAGGCTGCAGAATCTACATCCTCCAATTTTCAGAACTCCAGAAGCCTAAAGCAGGTACACAGTAAGCCCTGCTTAAGTAGGGGCTTGTCCTAGATAAGTTCCAGAGGCTTTGAATTCTAATCTATGATATTAAATCCATGCATACAATCCACAGGTTGCTATTTTATTTGTGCTGAGCACAAAGGGTAAGATGTCTCTAGCTGGAAGTCATAATAAATCTGGCTAAAAATTATATATATGACAGGCTGGAAAATAGAAGAGTTACTAGATGATGAATGCAGCCTCTTTCTTCACTGTTTAAATCACTTAAACCATTTTGCTACTTGACAACTATGAAGTGTCACTCTTAAGCCACCCTAAAAGTACTTCTGCCAACAATTAATGAAATTAACTAGGGATCGGCTGGGTAGGTGTCAAAACACATAACCGGTTATTTTAATTCTTTACATTGTCTTGGACACATAGAATCTTTTGCACTCTATATGCAGTTTAGCAAAACTGTAGTCTAACCAAGAGCGTGATTTTCATTTGACAAGCCAGTGTTTAATACACAGCCACACATCTTGCACAGATTTGTCCAACAGAAAAGCAAAACAGAAGGCAAATTCACAGTTTAATGCTTCTCATAGAGAGTAAGGACTCTAGACTGTACCATAAGCAGCCCACAGTTTTCAGTCCAGAACAAGAAGTAGTTTGTAAAGTTGATTTAAGTGCTTTGACATTCTTGAATCAAAATCGTAAGATTTTATTTTCATACACTATTTGCGTGGTTTACAAGGTAACTGTCTAGCTTCTTTCATAACTCATTGAAAACTCAAGGTTAATAACCAAGTTACGTTAAGTGGGTAACAATCTACAACTTGAAAGGTTGCGCACACTTGGAAAAAAGTAACTGTTCTACATAAGACAAGTCATGGAAGTAATTTATTGTTACATCACAGTCAAAGCTTTGCACTAAAGTTGTTTTCATGGAAGTTTAATATATACAGAGATCAGTCATTTAAGATTTCTGATCATTAATGCTATGTAGAAGAACCATCTGTTACCAGTAGTCTTGGACTTTAAAAATAATATAGCCAGTACCTGTATTTTATCTTCTGGAACATTCAGCCAGTGATTAAAGGCCTGTGACAGTTTGGTTCTCACTTGCTTACCTACAATAAAAATATTACAGGCATTCATAAAAATCACATGAAGTTCATTACTAGGGGAAACAGTTTGTCTTAACAACTATAGCTGATTTGAGACAAGTAAATTGAGCAGTGTGATCACCTGAAAGCAGAAAAGACATCCTAGTGTGTAGCTTGTTTCTTTATTGTATAAACATCAATTATCAGCAGCTTCAGTTTTAAACATTTCACAAAGCACATTTACAGGTTACTATACTTAGTTTTGTCAGTTTAATCAGTCAGTGATCCTCAATATGCTGGTAACCTGTACAGATCAGCTTACTACTTCTGAAAGTAAGCCCTAGTTTGCCAGGTATGGTGATTTCATGTGTGTAACAGATTAAGAAGTTTCAATAATGATCGTTATTAGCTGAGGATATGGATATTGAACATCTATTTTTCTCCATTTTTAGGTCTTTCTCCTGTTATTCTTCACTTGCTACTGACAATTTGTAAAACAGAAAAGTGACGTTTGATATACTTACTAAATAACTAAACAAAAATCTGAACAGAACATTCTGAACAGAATAGAACTTTCCAAGAATTCAGACATCTATCTTATACCCGAGAAGTCTACCTATGAATAATAGGATTTGCTCTGCTTTGGCTAAATCTAGTTTGGTAAAGCCAAACAGTCACCTTGTTTCATAGGAACGAAAGACAAGATCAAAAGTCCAAGTTTAGTGATAAAATAAGCATTACTCACAGAATCAGAGTGGTGTGGGTTGGAAGACCTCTGGAGATCACCTAGTCCAACCCCCCCCTGCTAAAACAGGTTCACCTACAGCAGGTCACACAGGATCATGTCCAGGCAGGTTTGAATGTCTCCAGAGAAGGAGACTCCACAATCTCTCTGGGCAGCCTGTTCCAGTGCTCCATCACCCTCAGGGTAAAAGAACTTTTTCCTCATGTTCTATTCAATCCAGACACATTTTGCCTGACAGTTAATTTTAATAGAAGTTAACCTATGTGCCTATAAATTATTGATGCCAGCTTTCTCTAATAAATTGCTAGGAGTCATGTACCAATATTTATTCAGTGTCTACTGATGATCAATGTGAAATAAAGTCACCCTCTGTCCACAGTGAGACAAGGCTGCTCTGAACTTTGAGAAGCTCAGCTATGTGTAAGATCTTCAAATAACTACAAGACAGGTTTAGACAAACAGCTCCACATATGTAGCCCACATCAACCAGGCCTTTGGAAAAAGTTTTAAATAAACTTCAAAGCAGTGAAACCTAGACAGTGGGTTCCATATTACTTGTCTCAAGATCTACTGAAACATAACTTAATGATTCTGCAATATTAGTCCTCATGTTGATGGTGCCATCTTGCCCGTAGCACTGAAAAAATTTCAACATCTGAATCTCTCCCTAAGGCTTCTCAATTGTTGTGTGACCAGCAGGTACAGAACAGAGTTAATAAAAATGGGTAGATTCACTTGCAGTGATATACCCTGGAGAAATTGGACTGAGGATTTTTCCTTTTCTAATTAAGTCACCACCAAGTAAGCAATAGCTTTGTGGTTTGGGTTCTGTAGCAAGGGTGATAACCTTCCTCCCTGGCTCAGAGGGCTTCAATTTTTGACTCCTTTCTCAAAGATTCCCACTGTTTCCCATCTTTTGGCTTTCATTAGACAAGACTAACTAAAAAGTTCTGCTTTTCTCCTCTCCCCAACAGCTTTGTCCTCTGTCTCCATCCTGTGTGAAAGGGCACTCCTATCTGGATGTACGTTGTCATTTGTTTGTGTTCTCCATTTTTGTTTTCCATGCACAGTTTTAAACTCTAACAGCTTCCTGCAGGAAGGAGGGATTGTTTTGTGTCTCAAACAACAGAACAGATATTTTAAGCTCCCCATGTCAGGCTTGCTCTCTCTAAGTACATAGCTGGTTCTAAATTATTTTTTAAAAACCAATTTAAGTCAATAACTTGCTGATTAGAAGTTCACTATTTTAACACAGGTAACCAGAACTCAAATTTAGTAGCACCCAAGAGTATAAAAACATCTTAGTTAACTAAGCAGCACCACTAATTCAAGTTAGACCTGCTTCAGACAACATTTCCTGCAGATACTAAGGATTTGAAACACTTCAAACACTCAAGACTTCCCCCCCCCCCCCCCCCCCCCCCCCTCCCCGTTTTCCCATGTGGTTAGACGCTATTTTGGCCAGATTGGTTCCCTGATGTGACTCACTACACACTTGTGACCACCAATACTGTGCAAGGGAGGGTCAAAATGCACTGCATCAGAGTTTCAGTATTTTATTTTAAAATAACAGCATGAGTTAACTGAGGAGAAAAGATTGCTCAAAAATATTGAGAAAAACCTGTTGTGAACATCTGCCAAACTGTGTGGCTTGCCAGTTAAGTATTAACAAGTATTTCAGCACATCAATAAAGAAAACTACTCAGAGATATCATCACATTAAGGAAGTGTACCTTATCTACAGCTGTTTATTCACTTCTAAGTTACACTGATACAGACACCACCTACTTTTTTACATTAGGAAGCTAATTTTGTTTTTCTGAATGCATTTCCTAGAAAATATGCTTATGGAATGCTGGATGTTCAGCAAGAAGTGTTATTTTATCATGAGGCACATAACTAGCACACACTCTAAATGGATTATTAACATGCACAATGGATTTGGCCACTTCAGTTCCTTAGCACAGACAGCATTTGAATTGTTAGACTTGTCTACCTTGACTAGCAAGGCTGTCTAGACACTGACTATTCAAGGAAAAACCACTGTACAGTGAAGTATTCATCTTTCCTTTTACAGGTGCAGATTTGCTTGTATGAGCCCCTTTAAAGGAACACTACTGCTACATAAACTCTATTTTATCTTGCTCTGAAGTCAATCCTACCTGGTGTATGTAATATCACAGCAATTTTCTGTATGCATGTTTTATGCCTATAGCCATGCTATGATGGCAAAAGACCAAATCCCTCTAACACTGGTCTCAAAAGCCTAAATGCAGAAGCCTCCATTCCCTGCCACACCCCTCCTTTCCCCAAACTAGACAAGACAACAATCCAGGGACACTAGGACAAAATTAAAAGGACTAAAACTTAACACTGGCAGAATTATCCAGTTTCTTCACTGTCACATGCCACTGCTCTGTTAATTATTCTATGCAGGCTATTGTAAAACTGAAGAATATAGAGGTCTAACTTCCAAAATTAGAAGCTCTACCTACTGCAAAGAGCTATAATAACAGACATTACTGCACCAAGCTCTTATGAAAACTATGCTAAATGTTTTCAGTTTAATCTGCTTAAGATGCCAATATTACCCAAATCAAACAGCAACTATGGAAAGCTTTTCTCCTTATTAATGCTGGGTAGAAAAGGTGACGAAAAAATATTCATAACATAACAGGCTCATTCTGATGAAATTCCTTCTACAGATAAGAATGTAAAACCCTTATCCTTGAAACAAAGATCAAGGTAGATTAAAGATGATGTACTGAGGACAATCCCTCCCACCTCTTCAGCCAGATGAGATGCTTCTCAAAAAAAAAAAAAAAAGAGTCAGGCTTACTCTCTATATACCTAAGTGTTCTTGTGACGGTACAGACCCAAAACCCACAGACCTCCAGCTCTGGACATGCTCCTAATTAGTACTTCTTCACTCTCACTGCATTAAAGTGACCACAAATTACGCCTTTAGGGTAGTACCCCACTTACAGTGAGGTACCTAAAAGGGCTAGAACAGCATGGGAAAGAGCAGAGGGACTATTAGCCTAGCCCTCATTAGAGCCTCACTAAGCTAATTCAACTCATTACCCCAGCAGAAAGCTGTCTGCTTTTTGCTAGGTTAGCTTCCTGACAGCATTATGTACTGAGTCAGCTTATGAAGCGGGTCTGCCAGAGTTAGTATGGGGTAAGCAGCAGATGTTGAGAGCCAGGGAAGGGGGCATTGCCCTTCTGGAGGAAGCAAGCTACTACATTACCTCAGCTACGTTGTACCCTTTCACATTTAACTCTGTCCTCTGATGGATTAGGGCTAACCGGGTGTCATGGTTTGAGGCTGGGCCGGCCACTAACGAATGACAGACGCTCTCTACTAACCCCTCTTGCCTCCCAAAAGGGAAAAGGAGAGAGAACAAGGGAGAGAGACTTTACGGTTTGGAAAAGAAAACTAACACAGCTTTAATGAAACAATAACAATAAAAGAAAAGATAATATTAAGGAAATAATGAAAAACATACAATATGTACAAATATATACAAAACC